GCTAAAGAGTTCTTTGAAATCTAGGACCACTACAAGACATGAGAAGCGGAGATGACACTATTGACCCAACTTAGTAAATATTTGCCAAGATAACATCGTTATGGAATTTCTATCTTAGTTTGTGTTTACCAAGTTAGCGTCAATTTCTTAGTTCGTATTTACCAAGTTAGCATTATAGCAAGATTTTTGAATTTGTATTCAATTATGACTTTCTTATTTGAAGAGATTTAGTAGGATTATAATGAGTGTTTTATTAGATAAGGAAACTTCCTTGTATGACGCATAAAGGTGTAAAGAAGTCTATATAATGAGTAGCTAGGGCAAAGCTAGGGGAGTTTTTTTGTTGATTTTTTCTTAAGTATTTAGTGAAGAGTTGTTCTTCATGTTTATTATGGATTTGGTTCTTTTCTTTGAATCTTCCCTGAATGTTATTTGTTTTTTGAACTACATTATTTGGTACTAGAGCACAAGTTTGATCCCTCTTTGCATTATGACTCCAAAGAAGAAACAAGTGGCTCGCATCATGGGGTAGGAACTCAACAACAAAACCCAAGAGGAGATGGCAAAGTTGAGAAGATAAGTAGATGCACTTTATCAAGAGTTGAAATCACTATTTCTCATTCTAAAACAGGGGATAGTGACTCTAACGCAAGTGTCTCCACTCGTTCCTTTTTATCATCAAGGCAAGCAACCAAATTGGTTGTAGTTGTGAGTGGTGATCAAATACGGTGGAAAACGGGCCTTAGTTGAGATTGAGATCCCAGAGTTCCATGGAGATATGACTCTAGAAGAATTTATGGACTGAGTACTCTTTGTAGTAGAAGTCCTTGAATTCAAAAGAGTTCTAGAAAGCAAGATTGTGCCCTCAATTGAAGGTTATGCAACACAAAAGAGGCAAGGAAAAGATTAGAACATGAGAGAAACTCAAGACAAAGATGAGGTCAGAATTTCTACCCCACAACTATACTCGTTTACTCTACCAAGAATTACAAAACCTAAAGCAAGGGACTGATACGGTAGATGAGTATACAAGAAAGTTTCATTTGTTAGTGGTCTGAAACTGGTTAATTGAAATTGGTGACCAATTAGTGGCAAGGTACATCGGTTGCCTCAGACCAAATGTTTAGGATGTATTGATTTAAATGATTGTTATGACGTGTCTATTGATCATTAACATGCTTTATTCATAGAAAGGCAAAACAATAGGACTAATCCATTGGGTCAAGCCCAAGTTAGTGGACCAAACCAAAATCATGTTGGTCCATCTGGGTTGAAATGCTATAAAGTGTGCTGAACTGGGCAACAAGTCTATTGAATGTGCAAGAAATGATAAAAGGAAAATAATGTTGTTTGTAGAAAAGAGGGATCAAGAATCCCAAGGAAAAGCTTGTGACTTTTAAGCCCAACTTGTGTTTGACTCCTATGATGATGGAACTTTAGAAGGTGAATTGGTGTATGGTGATGTAGGTGAAGCCTTAGTGATGCAACGATCATTCTTAATACTAAAGGATGAATTAAATGATAAGCTTAGAAATAACATCTTCTACACCACTTGTATTATAGGGGGCAAGATAGCAAACCTCATAAATGATAGTGGGAGCTATGAAAATGTTGTGTCAAAAGAAGCTATTAACAAGTTAAACTTGAAAACCCAATAGCATCTTTACCCATACAAACTTGCATGGTTGCAAAAGGAAAAATGAGGTAATAATAACACAACAAACTTTGCTTAACTTTTCTATTGGCCAACACTATAGTGATCGGATATGGTGTGAGTGTGCATGGATGCATGTTGTCTACTACTTGGGTGTCCATGGCAATTTAATCGTCATGTCATACGTGACGAATGGAAGAATTCATATTCTTTTGAGTTTAAGGGGAAAAGACTTAACTCTTTTTCCTTCATGAGAGATAATACCTAAGCCAAAACTTGGAAAGAGTGCTAGTCTTCTTATTATGATTGAATTCTCAAATTCCTTGAAGGACTGATAATGTGTATGCATTAGTTGAAGAGGATCATTTACCGGCTGAACAAAGTGGAAATCTAGCACTAAGGTTAGACCATGTGAGATAGTTGAAGTCATCAATGACAATGCCTACAGATTGAAGTTACCCAGCCATATAAATATCCAGGATGTCTTCAATATCAAGCATATCGTACTATATGTTGGTGACCACTCAAACGATGGCTTGAATCCGGGGTAGGATTCTTTCCAACCTAGGGAGGATGATGTATTATAGAGGGAGGCTAATTAGTTCGTATTTACCAAGTTAGCATTACAGCGGAATTTCCGAATTTGTATTCAATTAGGACTTTCTTTTTTGAAGAGATTTAGTAGGATTATAATGAGTGTTTTATTAGATTTGGAAACTTCCTTGTAAGAGGCATAATGATGTAAAGAAGTATATATAAGTAGCTTGGGCAAAGCTAGGGGAGTTTTATTAGATTAGGAAACTTCCTTGTAAGAGGCATAAGGATGTAAAGAAGTTACTCATAATTATGACTTATTCTTGCTTTTAGCCAATATAGGTATTATTTATCTCATGCAATGAAAGAATTATAAAATTGTGAAGATAACATTCAAAACCTTGAACCTGTCAAAAGACAAATTAAAACCTCACAACATGAAACATTAGCTTCATGCCTTATTCTGCAACTTTGGCCTTTTACCTTTCTATGTAATCCAGCCTCACAATTTACTCAGGAGACATGACCTTGTGCCTTGGGGCCTTGTGTTGAAAACTTGCATTATGGCTTACTGATTGTCTCACATATCTTGCCTTGCCTAATATTCTCGCTTTGATCTATGACCTCACTAAATCCTACCTCGAACTGAGATTAGATTTGCTCCTCACAGAGAGTGCCTCACACCAATCTCATAGAGAATCGTAGGTGTACAATGAGAACATCTCCTGTACATGATATTATCATTCATGGAAAGTTGTTCCGAACACATGACTATGATGTGCTATGATGATTTGTGAATGTATTCTCTAAGAGGAGTAGATCTGAACTCCCTTGCGCTAGGGAATTGTAACAACCTCGTGCCATGGCACCAAGACATCTTGGCCTTGGGAATTCTATCACGATGGTGTAGCGCAGTACGAAAATGAAGCACGTGAGAAAAACTTCAAAGGAAAGAGCAGAAGTCAAATTTTTGGAAGAAGAATTCTTCACTAAATAATTAAGAGAAATTAATAACAAGAGAACTTTATTAGCCTTCCCCTAGCTACTCTTTATATAGGCATACACCTTTATGGCTCCTGTTCCTAATCTGAAAACAATCCATAATAGAATCCTAATAAAACTCCTTAAAAAAGAAAATCCTAATCTAAGAAAACACTCCAAAATAGAAACTACTAAAATCCTTCAAAAGGAAAGTCGTAATTGAATATAAATTCAAAATAATTCTAACTTGGTAAAAATGAATTAAGATAGAAATTCTGTGATGGCACCAACTTGGTAAAAACGAAATAGGATAGAAATCCTGTGACGATGCTATATCGGTAAATATTTACTAAGTTGGGTTGGTGGCGTCATCTCTGCTTCTTATGTGTCTTGGAATGGTCCCAACTTGCATTCAACTTATCGGCCTTCTCCAGTATTGCATCATCCCCCCTTGGTTGGGGAGAATCTATTCTTGGATTGATCGCAAACATAAGGTACCAAGTCTTTGACATTGAAAACATCATGGCTACATATATGGTTGGTAGCTTTAGACTATACACATTCTCATTGATGATTTCAATTATCTTGCATGGTCCAACCTTCCTTGGCACTAGCTTTCTATGTTGCCCAATTGGTAGGCACCCTTTGTTAAAATGACCCAAACATAGTCTCCCGTATCAAATACTACCTTCCTCCTTTTTTTCCATCAACATATTGTTTGTACTTAGCATTGTTTACCTCTAGCTTGTTGTGGACTTCTTTTGGAGGTTCTTAAGCTTTTATACCATATCATTAGCCTTGACATGAATTAAGCCTGGCCAAGTACTAGTAGCAAGGTCAAGGACGCTATGAGGGTTGGCCCCATATACTACCTCAAATGGGTTGTATCCGTTACTCCTGTTTTTTGACCTATTGAAGGCGAGCTCAGCTTGTGCTAATAAGTGATCCCATTGTTGTTCATTGTCAGCACCCAATTTTTGCTCGATCCGCCGCTTAAATTTGCAACTTACCCCAAACACCCAATCAGACCCATCCGACTTCCTTAAAACATCCGAAAACCCAAAAATCCCAAATTTCACCCTAAAAGCCCTTAGATCCATCCTTAAACTTGCCTGATACTGATCCGATGGCCCCGATTAACCCCACTTACACCTCGACCATTAGATCAGACACAACCATTAGACCTATGACCTTCCAAAACACCTACCCATGAAATTTGATCTCAAGATTCCTCCGTTCACCCATTCATCAAACAAAGATTCTATTTCAATCCTTCTTGTACCCAGAACCCGTACCCACTTAGAATCCAGATTCCTTGATCTGGACACATATAAACCAATCAGACCTTTCCAATCACATCAGACTGCCCAAAAACCCTACCCTGTGAAATTTCACCTGAAACCACCTTCGTTTACCCCTTCGTCGAGCATAGATTCCATTTTGAACCCCTAGAATAACCAAATCGAGCCCTTTCCAGATCTGTCCAATCCGGGCTTATTTGGGCCAATCTGACCCCTCCAATCAATTCAGAATGTCTGAAAACCCCATCCTATAAAATTTCAACCAAAAATGCCCTCATTTACCCTTTCAACCAAAAAGATTCCATTTTGGTTAATCCTACTAGCCCACACACCCAAACCCACTCTCTATGGTTAGACCCATCTCAACCCTCCATTTTTTGACCCGGAACCACCAATCATTGATCCAAGAACCTGGTTCAACCCCTGGATCCAGTTTAACTCAACTTGCCAAAATTACCAAAATTGCCCCTGAACTTTCCTAAAATTATAAAAATACCCTCGATACACTTAAAAAGGGGACGATTCATTCATTTTGCCCTAATGGGAAGAATGGGAGGGAATGCACTATTCATCGTCTCCCCTTAGAACAAAGAACTAGTAGCAGAGCATCGGTGGTGAGTTTGTTTCATCCCTAGTCTTTACTCTCTCTCTATTTTTCTTCTGATATTTCTTCTTCTTCTTCTTCCTTTAACTCCTTTGCCTCTGTGTTTTTATTGCCGCGACTGCAATTATTAGCAACGGTGGTGCTATGCTTGAAATCTCCCTCTCTCACTCACATTGGAAACCGACATTCTATGACCGCGACTGCAAGTAGCCTGTGATAGAATGTCGTCTGAAACCACTCCTTGCAGCTGAAATTACTCCCTGCGGCATCGTTTGAATTTTGGCTAACATCCCGCCTTAGTTCTGAGTACCAATCCGAAATGAAGGTAGCTCGTCTAAAATCTGAACTTCATCTATTTTGCATATATACTTTTTTTATTATTATTTTTTCTTTTTTTTTTTCTCACCTTGCTATGTGATAATAGATACCCGGGTGGTTGCCGAAACTGGTGATGAGGCTTCTGCCAAGCTAGATTCTTGTGAAATTCTTAAACCAACCTAGGTTTTTCGTTTTGCATTTCATATTGTTTGGAAGAACTTCTCTTTGATAGTCGTTTGCCTCTCCTTTTCTTTAATGTTCAATTGCTTTGTTATTAACTGCCTATCATGGATAATGTGTTTGAATATGGTTTTTTATGTGCTCTCGTCTGAGTATGGTAGGATCTGTTACCCGACAGAGGAGATTATTATCGTTGTGATATCCAGTGGAACTTAGACTAAAAAAAGAAAAGAAATAAAAAAATAAAGAACAACGGGAATGGGATACAAAAGTCGAGATGATTTATCTATTTGCAGATATTGAGAGGGAAGAGTGATTGGCCGAGAGGATTTGATTACTCCGATCTAAAGAATATAATAAAATATAAAAGTAAGGAAAAAGAATAAGCAATACAATAAAATGGGTAGACTGATTTAGTAAACTCGGACTTGTCTTGGAAACTTTCGAGGCTATAAACTACAGAAAGAGAAAAGTAATAAAAAAGAAAAAAAAGCAACAAACATAAAAATAAAAAAGAGAGAAAAACAAAAAATAGAAAATGTAAAAATTAAAAAAAAAACAAAAATAATAATAACAAATAAAAAATAAAAGATGATGTCAAATGGGGTTTCATAAGAAATTAATAAAAATAGTTGATTAAGTAAATTAAAAAATGTAAATGTATATAAAATAAATAAAAATAATTAGGTAAATTATCGTGTGATGTTTTGGCTTCTTGTATGTTTTGTTTTGTTACAACCTTAGCCATTTGAGTTATTGTATAAGTGCATTTATAGTCATTGGAATCCCATGTAGGCCCCACCTATAGGACCCGGGAGAGGGGTGCCTAACCCCTTCCCTCTCCCATCCAAGTCTTACCTAGACTGGTTAGCCAGTGCCTTGGGCAATTGGAGTCACTGTTGAACAAAAATGATTTTAATGCCATTCTTGGAGGTCCCATCACCTCCATTTCCTTATCTGATGGGTGGCGACTCCATTTTTAGGCCAAGTGGCAAAGTGAGCATGTTTTTCGAACCTTACATTCATGGCTAGCTGCAAGGGTTCTTAAACGATTACCTAAACTCCTATTGACTACTTCGGTTTGGCCATCCGTTTGAGAATGATATGAACTGCTGAATTGTAATGAGGTACCCATTAACCTCCAAAGACTTCTCCAAAAGTGTGATACGAACTTGGAGTCTCTATCTGAAGTAATCGAAGATGGTAAGACATGGAGTTTGACAATCTCCTTGAGGATTAAACCAGTAATAAGTGAGGCATCAATTGTCTTCCAACATGCCTCAAAGTGAGTCATTTTTGAAAATCGATCTTTGACCACCATTATAGACTCTACCTATTGTTGGGTATGTGACAACCCAAGAACAAAGTCCATACATATATCTACCCAAGCTCCTTTTGGAATTAGGAGGGGCATGTATAATCTAACATTGGTTATCGTTCCCTTAGAAACGTGGCATATGTGACAATGCTCTACAAACCTTGTGATGCCTCTTGTTATCTTGGGCCAAAAGTAGCTTGCTGAGATGAGATGAATTGTATTATCATGCCCAAAATGACCATTGTGAAGTTCTTTGATGATTTTCAGTTGCCATGAGCAAATAAGTATACATAGGTGGGTCCCCTTGAATAAAAAGCCATCATATATCACAAAGTCCATCCTACTAACTGCTTGCACTTCCTCTCTGATACCAGCAAAATAAGGGTTAGTGAAAAATAATTCACGAAAAGTATCAAACCCTAGCACCTGTGCTCTGAACGTGGATAACATGGCTCTCCTTCGGCTGAGTGCATCTGCTACTTGATTGTGCACACCTGACTTATGTTTCAACATAAACGAATATTCTTAGTGGTATGCAACCCATTTAGCATGACTTGCATTCAACTTATGTTGGGTCTCAATATGCTCAAGTGCCTCATGATCTGAATATAGAATGAACTCTTTATGGATGAGATAATGTCGCCAACATCGGAGTTCTTGTACCACAACATAGAATTCCACATCATAGGTTGAGTAGTTGAGGCATGACCCATTCAATTACTCACTATAGTAAGCTATGGGCCAACCACCTTGGTTGAGAACAACACCGATTCCAACTTTAGAGGCATCACAATCAACCTCAAAGGGTTGCTAGAAGTTGGGAAGGGCTAGCATGGGTGCAGCTTTCAATCGTGCCTTAATCTCAATGAAAGCTTTCTTTGCTTTAGTGGTGAACACAAAATTGGTTGAAGCCTTCATACAATCTGTATATGGTGCCATAATAGTGTTGAAGTTGCTAATGAATCATTGGTAGAAGGCTACAAGACCATGAAAACTTCATGCTTCAGTAAGTGTTTTAGGGATGGGCCACTCAACAGTGGCACAAACCTTCTCAGGGTTTACAGAAACTCCTTCCCTTGAGATGATATACCCAAGGAATAAGACCCGATTTGTGGCAATAATACACTTCTTCAAGGTTGCATAAAGTTACTCCCTGTGCAAAGTTATAAGTATATCTGGAAGGTGTAACAAATAATAGTTCATATCAGCGTTATATATGGGAATATCATCAAAGTATACCACAACACACTGACCAATAGAAGGCTTGAAAACCTGGTTCATGACCCTCATGAAATGTTTTGTGCATTGGACAAACCAAATGGCATTAATAGCTATTCATACAAACCATCCTGCATCTTGAATGCTGTCTTTCACTCATCACCAGGACAAATTCTGATTTGATGGTAGCTTGATTTCAAGTCTAACTTAGTGAACACCTTGGCCCCAGAAAGCTGATCCAACATGTCATCCAAGTGTGGAATCAAAAATCGATATTTGACGATTATGTTATTAATTTCTCATCTATCAACACACTGTGAGACAATGCATGCCCTTACCTCCAATCAAATCGATATACAAATACTTTTGTTGTAATGAATAAAAGTACATAATTGTTTCATGTTATCATTGGTGTGTTTCTGTGTAATTACCCTTAAACTGTACACTTATGAGACTCATATTAGTTTAGAATGTTCCTAGTCATTGGATAGACTTGGGGAAGTTTATCCAGCCAAGGCTGACACTGATGTGCTGCCAAGAAGGTTGGGGCAACCTGTCTCAGTTGCTAGGGTTAGACCCAAAGCACATGCAGTGTGTGTTTGTTCGAAACAATGAACCAGGACCAATTTCCAGTTATGCCCTGGACCATGGAGACTGGTGGGCAAAACTGGAAAGTTACACATAACCCCTAGACTTGATTATGGTTCTACACTGGGTGTCGGATCGGGTTGTCTTTTATATGTCAATCAGTGAGATCCTTTGAGAGTCAAAACCTAGGTACGTTGGGGTAGTTTAAGAATTCACTTGAGTATATGAACATAGTGATAGAATTAGCCCCTTTGTCGAACAAAGAGAGTGATTGAGACTGCACTCTCTCTGATGGAAATCAAAACTACCGACCTTCAATTTCGACCATGTTTGAGGTTTGTTTTGAAAAATATATTTATATTATATATATATATGTTATGTTTCAAGAAAAACTTTTGTAGAATGTTTTAATTCCCGGGACCCATCCGAGCAGAGAGTGCAACACTGCACCTTGCAGTCAGGGGAGAGGTCCTTCCCTGTCAGGCAATGTTTGGTCATTGTGGGCTGAGAGGTTAAGTGTAAGAAACCATTAAGGGTTGTTTACCTGATGGGCTATATTTTACTTAACTCCATTATCCTTTGGCCTTCATTGATGGCTGGACTCAGGGATCATTTAACTGTAAATGTAGAGCCCATTTTGAGCCCACAGTAATGGACTCAAGTGTTCATTACACTTAGCAGTGAATTCAGCTAGGCTTTTTCTCAGAGGCTAGGCCGAACCCATATGGGCTTATGTGAGGTCATTTTTAGGGTTCCACTCCATACAAACTGAACATAAATGGGCCAGCAAATCTCTTGGGACGTGAGCCACTTAGTTAATGAACCTAAAGCCCATGATTAATATGATTAATCAAGTGGTCACCTGACTGCTTAAGCTATCACGTGACTTGGGCGAATATGGGTTTGGAGTACCCTTTCTCATAAGAGGATAAGACCTATCCACTGATAGAGTCCAGATCCAAATAATGATTTGGATTACAAACCTCCTAATTCGATTAGGAGTGGTGCTTCTTAAGGATTAAGAAAAGAGAGATCGAACTACTTTAGATCACTCTGCTTTCAGCTTTCTCTCCTTGCTCTTGCTGCCCAAAAACCCTAGTTTGATCTCCAATTCTTGGGACTGATCTTGATTAGTTCTATCGCTAAGTTTTTCAAGAAAATTTCAGAAAAAAATCGTGCTCACCTCCCTTGTTTGACCCATACAGTTGGATTGCAGTTTTACTGAAAATTGCGTTCTTGAATCAACTTCACTCCAAGTTGCACCATCTTCAGTGGAAGCTGGTTTTGGGATTCAATTTGGGCATGAATTACCACTTTGGGAGCTACATCTGTGGAATCTATATCAGGTATACATCTCCCTCCTTTTGGTTTCAAATCTAATCCGGTCTCAGTGCAAGAAAGATCCTAGAAAAATGTAATTTTTTTGAAAATAGGGAATGCGATTCTTGGAAAGCTGAAAGAAATTTTTGAAATTTTGCCCAACCATGTAGCATGGTTTGTCCATCTATATGATGGATTTTACCTTCCTTAATGCACATCCTCCAAGTACCATCCTTTTTGGGTACTAACAAAGTGGAAACAACGCATGGACTCATATTGTCTTGTATGAACCCTTTAGCCATCAGTTCACTACTTGTTTTTGTAACTCCTCATGTTCAGTGAGACTCATTCTGTAATGGGCATTGTTGGGGAAACTAGCACTC